GAAAAGCAGTTTTTTATACTGGAACTAATACTCAAGAACTTTGAACTGAGTCACTTTATAATGATTTTTTTTTGATTTTAAGTAATAGTGTTTTTTTTTGAGTTATAAAGAATTTTTTTAAGCGTAGTTGCTTGAAAATATAATAATGGAATTTTACTTTACTAAAGCAATAATTTTAGTTATGAAGTTTTTTGGGAGGGGAGTGATATGGGAAAGCGGAAGAGGAGAGGAGAGAGGAAATAGGAAAGTTATTTCAATATCTAAGAACATGTATAGAAAAAAATTTGTTTTTATGGTATTAAAGATAGATAAAGGAACAAAACTAAATTGATTGTCGACAAAAACTGATATTACTTGTATGACTTTTTATTTTCTTATAGAATTTCTTCTCGCGGCCATTTTGTTCAAATCCGCTGAAACGAACCAAGAGTGTATCCAAATTAGACAGAAAACGAAGCACAAATGAACAACATCTGTAAGTTTTTATTTCACATATCTGTCTGCAGTCAAAGATTATTGTGTTGGAGAACAAAATAAAGTTTTGAGAACAACCGAAAAGAAAAAACGATAACGATACCGGTATTTGAGATAGGATTTTGAAATTTTTATTTGCTTGCTCTGCTGTTGCTGTTGTTAGTTTAGCTAATGATCGATAAGACTAAACCTGTAGATAAGACTAGGGTCTATGAAAGTTATAATCGGATTGTGTACAATTATTTACCGTATTTCTTCTTGTATATTAGGCATTTTCTTTTTTCTGCTAGCAAAGCAGTGCTAAAGAAAAGTTTAAGAGTGGAGCAAAAATAATGTAGGAGAGAGGGCGGGTGGGAATGGGTATCTGAGGTACAGTGAATGTTAATTTATTTTAACAGTTTTATCAACAACATATGATCAGTCATTTAATGCTAAATTGACTTCAAACAATTCAAGAAAATACCAAAACAATGGAAAAAAAATTATTTAAAATTTCTTTTGCTGCTGCATTAACTCAAAAATATCATCTGTAACTTTTTATAGCAGTAAAAATATCAGAAAAAAATGTGAAGAAGCATTTATTAGAGGAGAAAAAAAAAAGGAATTTTTAAAGAAATTATGATATATCAGTGTGTTATTTAATTGAAAAGAAACTTAAAATATCAATGTTAAATTTTTACGTTTTGTTCGGTTAGCTGAAGTAATCAGTGAATGAACAAATTTTTGTGCGGTTAATTCCATCAAATAGCTGCTGTCTTCCAAATATTGCCCCAACAGTATCTCATCGGTTCTCCAATGTTTTCTGATCGTTTTTCCATTCCGTCTGACACTTCAACTGATACTTTAACTATGGTTAACTTAGTTGATCGTAAAAAAGAAGTAAACTGTGCAGTAGTAAGAAATATGTTAGTGACTGGAAAAAAATTCTTTTTTTTAGCAATCGAAAAGAAGAGTGAAATGTTTTTGTCGTCTTCAAAAATATTTATTTTGATTTATAAAAATAGCAGAAGGTGATGAAACGAAAACACTCTAATATATCAAATAAATAACAAAATAAATAATTGTTTTTTCTTTCGTTTTAATCAAATTAAACTGTACAGTTGAATTCGGCTTTTTTTCTTCTCCTTTTCGTGTAGATTCATCTGCTGTCAAAAAAAAAAAATTTATCTCTCTTGTTTTTTTTTTCTTCTTCTTCTTAGATATAACTAATCAACAGCAACAATATCTATACGATTCAAAAGTAATGCAAATAATAATTGGAACTTTACTTCGACTGCTATTTATTTACACCTTTCTTTTCTTCTTTACTTTTTAAATCTTGTCAGTTTTATTTGCTCAAGTTTGACTGTCGTTCCACAACTATTCTCCATATGCTTTATTGATCTTTTGCCTTTGCAAATTAAAAAGAATTTTTTTTTTTTTTTTTTGGTTCTGTTTTCTTCTTTCTCTATCTAAACTGACGGAGTGAAAGAACAGTTTTTTCTTTTGTTCTCTTCGTTTAACAATTTAAAGAAGAAAAAAAAAAATTGATCATTTTTTTTTTATTGTTATGCTTCACATCTCTTTCTGCACTGTTTTTCTCCATTTTATTCCATGTCCTCCTCATTCTTCCTGTTCTTCATCTTTGCCTTTTTTTTTTCGGTCTTCATGTTAACTCTTGGTTTAATGTTTAATTTTCTGGCACTTTTTTTTCCTTCTGTTGTACATTCGTAACAACAGAAATAACACCAAAGATGATGAAAATTACATTAGGAAAAAGAAGAAAGAGCAAAAAATGATATAAATTTTTATTGTCCACGTGAAAAAGAATAAATAAATAAGCGGAGGGGAAAAAAACAGGCAGTTTACAAGCGATATAAGAAAGGGTAAAAAGTTTAAAGCAGAAAACTGCCCATATGTTTCAGTGATTTTGCCGTTGGTCAGTGTTGTCTCTGTAGTTTTTAAGCAACAGCGAGCATCGGATAGTTAGTAGTTGTCTGACTTTTTTTTGTTCGTCGGACAGTAGTAGTGTTGGTTTTAGCCATACTAACACTGCTGCTGATACAAGTTCCTGTTGTTGATACTACTAAACTAATTGTTTTCGCCAAGAAGATTTGCATTATACTGATTATTCTTATTGAGCAAAAAATAAAAAAACTGAAACAAAGAGGAAATAGGCTTACAAAAGAATCAGAATATGTAAAAATAAAAAAAACAATATTGTACAACAGTAATTTTAAAAAATAAAAGCAATTGTGAGGAAGAAAATTCTTCGGTGAACCAAAAAAATTTTTTGATATATATAAGTGTGTTAATACTTATAAGTGTGTGTGTTAATACTTCTTTTTTTTTCTTACATCGTTTAATTCTCGTTTTAAATACTAATTCTCGTTGAGCTTATCTTTTCAAATACAACTGAATTTTAAGCTTCTTTCTTCACCATCTCTTCCATCCTGTTTTTCATTTTTTTTTTGTTTGTTTCTTTCTTGTGTCATTCGCGCTGTAACGGAAGAAGAAACAGCACATCAACCTCGGTAACAACAGCAGCATTGTCGACACGCGGACCAGTTCCGGGAAGAAATGCAAAAAAAACCAATTAAATTTTCCCTGAGATTCTGCCTCTGATTTCGTTGTTTTGCTGTATCAGATCGCATTTGAAAACGTGCATCTACAAAACTA